CTTATTGGAAAAATAACTGATCTGGAAAATAGATCCAGGAGAGACAATTTAAGATTTATTGGATTACCTGAAAGCCATGATCAAAAAAAGAGTCTAGACATTTCAAGAAATTACAAAGGAAAACTATTCCAACATCTGAGATCCAAAGGGTAAAATAGAAATTGAAAGAATCCACCAGTCACCTCCTGAAAAAGATCCCAAAATGAAAACTTCTGGAAATATTATAGCCAAATTTCAGAACTCCCAGGTCAAGGAGAAAATATTGCAAGCAGCTCGAAAGAAACCATTCAAATATTATGGAGCCACAGTCAGGATCACATAAGATTTAGTGACTTCCACAGTAAAGGAGAGCAGGTCTTGGAATATGATATTCCAGAAGGCAAAGAAGCTAGGATTACAACCAAGAATCACCTACCTAGCAAAACTAAGTATAATCCTTTGGGCGGGGGGGAGAGAATGGATATTTCATGAAATAAAGCACTTTCTCGTATTCCTGATGAAAGTATCAGAGCTGAATAGAAAATCTGACGTTCAAACACAAGATTCAAGAGAAGCATAAAAAAAGGTAAATATAAAAGAGAAATCATCAGGGACTCAATAAGGTTTAAACTGTTTGCAATCCCACAGGGGGAGATGATTCATGTAATTCCTACTTTACCATTATTAGGACAAATAAAAGGAGTTTGCATAGACAGAGGGCACAGATATGAGTTGATTATATTGGAATGGTCTCAAAAAAATGAAGGAGGGAAAAAGATGCACTGAGAGAAGAGGGAAGGGAGAGGTAGAATGAGGTAAATTTTCTCACATAAAAGAGGTGCACAAGGAAGAGCTTTTTGAGTGAAGAGCAGATAAGAGGTGGTAGGCAATGCTTGACTTTTACTCTCATAATTAGTTTGAAGAAGGAAGAAATATATATATTTATAAGCATGCATGCATGCATATATATCTATATATACACATGCATGCATGTATGTGTATATATATATATTTAATATATTATACGCACACACACACTCAGTTGTGTATAGAAATCTATCTTATCCAATGGGGAAAAAGAAGAGGAAGGGGATAAGAGAAAGGAGAGGGATGATAAAAGAGAGAAGATTAAGGTAGGCAGTGGTTAGAAGCCAAATAGATTTTTGAGGAGGGAAAGGACAAAAAGAGAGTGAGAATAAACAGAAAAAAATAGGATGGAGTGAATGCAAAGTAATCATAGCTGTGAATGTAAATGGGGTGAACTCATTCATAAAACAGAAGCAGATGGAATTCAACAATAAGTTGTTTACAAGAGGTACATTTGAAATAGAAACATTCACACACAAAGTTAAAATAAAGGTCTGAAGCAGAATCTAATATGCTTCAACTGAAGTAAAAAAAAAATGTCAGGGGTAGCAATCATCATCTCAGACAAAGCAAAACCAAAAATAGACCTAATTAAAAGATATAATCAAGGAAACTACATTTTGCTAAAAGTACCATAGACAATGTAGTAATATCAAAAATTTTTACAGCAAGTTTCTCTGAGAAAAGCCTCATTTCTCAAATAGATAGAGGATTGAGTCAAAACTATAATTGATAACTGGTCAAAGAATATGAACAGGCAGTTTTCCAAAGAAGAAATAAAAGCTATCTATACTTGTATTAAAAAATGCTATGAATCACAATTGATTAGAGAAAGGCAAATTAAAAGAACTCTTGAGGTACCACCTCACATCTATCAGAAAGGACAAATGCTAGAGGGGATGAGGGAAAACAGGGACACTGATGAATTGCTGTTGGAATAGTGAAACTGGTCTAACTATTCTGGAGAACTGTTTGGAACTATGCCCAAAAGGCTATATAACTTTGTTTTGGGTTTTTTTTTTGACCCAGAAATACCACTACTAGGTCTCTGTCCCAGAGAGATTAAAGAAAAAGGAGAAGGACCTCTATGTACAAAAATATTTATAGCAGCTCTTTTTGTAGTGGCAAAGAATTGGAAATCAAGGAGATGTTCATCAATTGGGGAATGGCTAGACAAGTTGTGACGTATGATTGTGTTATAAGAAATGATGAGGTTTCAGAAAAACATGGCAAGACCTATATGAAATGATGCAAAGTGAAGTGAGAAGAACTGGGAGATCATTGTGCACAATAACAGCAATGTTGTAGTGATGCTCAACTGTGAAAGACTTGTCTGCTTTGATCAATACAAAGATCTAAGACAGTTCCAAAGGACTCATAATGAAAAAAATGCTATCCACCACTAGAGAGAGAACTTAAGAACTTTGAGTGCAAATTGATGTATAATTTTCTTGTATTCTTTGTTTGTGTGTTTGTTTGGCATCGTTTGTGTGTTTGGCAATATGGCTAATTTGGAAATATGCTTTGCATGATTTCTCATGTATAATTGATATCATATTGCTTGCCTTTTCAGTGAATGGGGGTGGGGTGGAGGGGGGAGAGAGAGAATTTGGAACTCAAAATTTAAAAAGAAAAGAATGCTTAAAATGAATAATAATTTTTTAAAAAGAAAATGGAGTAAGAAAACAGTATAGGAACCTCTCACTTCAGCCCACACATAAGCCTTTAAACAACATACAAATGGGTCCTCGTAGATAGTAGACTTTCAATAATTATTTGTTGATTTATACTCTCCAAGCTCATCTACACTATGATCAGATCAATACTCCTATCATTTTGTGCCAGAGACACCTGTAATGGGAAGGATCCTGCATAACTTATCAGGGTATCATAGGAGGAATTTCCACATCAGGTTCAATGGACCACTCAGAGCCTGAGGGTTCAGAGGAATAATTACTCAAAACATTTTGGGCAACCGTCATGTAAAAACAGCTTGCCACAACGTTGGGTCAGGGGAGGGAAGAGTGTCAGAAACTCCCATCTCTATCCAGAGAGCAGTCCTTAAATCCTCCTTGCCCAAAAGGTGCATATCTGGGCTTCAGGTCAATCTCTCCACAGCAAAATTAACTCAAACTGCCCCAGGTCTGTTCTGGAGTATCCTGGTTCATAATGCTTATAGTTGGGATAAGGATTTAATTCAAGCTGCCTGAGGTCTACTTGCATCCTAGCCTATAACAGCGAGATTAATCTAATTTCTTTTGGTTTGTGCCCCAACTTAGAAACCTGGGAAGTACATTACACTGGTCAGTCCTGATGCTTTTTGTACTTGTAATATCTCATGTGTCCAGTCACCAGTGAGAGTGATATAGCAGCCAAAAAACTGCTAATGTGATCTTAGGCTGCACTGAGAGGCCTAGCATCTATAAATAAGGAGGGAGGTGATAGTTCCACTACACTCTGCCCTGATCAGACAACATCTGAAGTATTGTGTCCAGTTCTAGGCACCACATTTTAGGAAGGACATGGATAACTTGGAAAGCACCCAGAGGAGGGTGACCAAGATAATAAAAAGCTAAAAAACATTCTCTATCAGGATCAATTGAAGGAATTTGAAGAAGAGAAAACTGAGGAGGGAGAAAAGGTGAGAATAGGATAGCTGTTTTCAAATATTTGGAGGGCTGTCAAGGAGAGGAAGCCTTAGACATGTTCCCTTTGTTCTCAGGTGGGAATGGGTGGAAATTGTAGTAAGGCAAATTTAGGCTTCACATAAATAAAAGTTTCCTTCAGTTGCTTTAATGGGATTAGTGGCTTCTCTCTCACTAGGGGAACCTTCTGGCAGGGGCTGCATTGCTTGCCCAATATATTAAAATGGTCATTCCTGTTTAGATATGGGTTGGACTGGATGACCCTCAAGGTCCCGTTTAACTCTCAGATTCTGTGATTCTGTATCAAAAATATTGTCAGTGACCATATGCTATACTTGACGCAATTTATTTACCTCACATCATTCCCTTTTGGAGAAACCACCAAACCAGAACAGGGCAAGGTGTTTGTGTATCTTAGGCGAGGTTTGAAAATTGCATCCTGTGTATGTCATTGTATACAGTGATTTTGACTGGTCATCATAATATGAAGCTTAACATCACCCCCCAAAAATTGCATGTATACCATAAGAAGTAGGATTTTTCTGACTTTAAAAAAACATAGATTGGCAAAATCTAAGAGCTGGCTTTTCCCCTCTGCTTCTTTCTTTTTGTTGTTGTTGGGGTTTTTTTGTTTTTTTGTTTGTTTGTTTGTTTGTTTTTGGCTAGGCAATGGGGTTAAGTGACTTGTCCAGGGTCACACAGCTAATAAATGTTATGTGTCTGAGGCCAGATTTGAACTCAGGTCCTCCTGACTCCAGGGCTGGTGCTCTGTCCATTCCCCTTCCCTCTGCTTCTTTCATTCCCTCCTCCTCCTCCTCCTCCCTTCTTTCCCATTGCGCAGCCAAATCTCAGACTACAAATACAAGAATGGGTTTAGGAGCATTGGGTGATATAAGTTTATGTCACAGCAAATGTGTGACTACCTCTGACCATATTTCAAAGCTTAATATAAATAATTTTGCATCAGTCGGCTTGGTTTTTATCTACATTGATTCTTCCACTTATTAGTGCAGATAATAATTCCCTTACTTTAATACATTTAAGTCATATAAATAAATCAACAGTTTCCAAGTACATTGTCCTTGACTCCAAATAGAAAGCCCCATAAAAGTTCCAGATTTTCATACTGTATATAACAGAAATCTTGAGAGCCAACATAGTGTAGTAGATACAGCTTTGGTCTTGGTGTAAGGAAGACTTGCTTTAAAATCCTGCCTCAGATACTTAGTAGCTGTGTAACCTGGGGCAAGTCACTTGATCACTCTATGCTTTGGTTTCTTTGTCTATAAAATGAGGTGATTGGCTTTGATGGTATCTAAAGCCCCTTCTAACTCTAAACCCATGATCCAGTGATCCTTTATTTGACTTATGGAAGGACATTTGCTATTTTCAAGTTTCATTTCTGGGTGTTCATGTCTTCCACGAAGTGACATGGTTAGAGATCTCCAATGAAAAACTTTGCAATCATAGATTAACTAATATGATTTTTTTAATCTATATGTTGAACAGAAATAAAAATGTCTGAAGACACAAGTAACACAATAACACCTGAAGAAAAAACTGAAATAACCAAGATGCCTGATACGGATTCTTTACTTGAGGATGCTGCAATACACCATGAAACACCTGAAATTTTGAATGAATCTCCACCAATTGGACTGAAAGAAGAGGCAGACAAAACCATAAAAGTAGAGAATGAAGAGGTGGCTGGTATCCAGCATCCTAACAATCCCTTGGCAGAAGACACCATTGCAAAGGAACCTCCTTCCAATGGGGGAGTAACAGAAGATGTACTTGTTGAGTGCATTGAGTCTGTAAGCCTTGAGCCAGATCCTGCATCTGAAGTGTTACTGAGTGAGCAAAGCAACCAGGTAAGTGGAATTTGTATAATTCAACTTAAGTTTTTCCCAGAGTGTGTCCCTCACACTCTGCTAGGAGCAGCAGATTATGTTCCCCCCAAAAAAGGTGTAGGATGCTATCTTTGCCATCAAAAGATCAATTCTTTTTATTGGGAAACAACACAGAGAAAACAACTGCTTTTATTATTGTGATATTTCTTTCTCCCCCCCCCCACTCCAGGGCTTTTTTTAAGTGACTAGAAAAAGGGTAAATAAAACAATATATTTGCATATTATAATCAAGCCTACAGAGCCTCTTTTCACTCCACAAAAAAACAAAACAAAACAATTTGGCCATGGCATCAATCAGTTGACAAGCATTTATTATGCTCTAGATACTGTACTGGGTGCTGAGGATACCAAAACAAGGGCAAAATAGTCCCTTCCCTCAAGAAGGTTACATTCTAATGGGGGGAAACCATTGATACGTACAAAACACATATAGCACAGGAATACAAGATAACCTGGTGGGGAAGCTATCAGATGGGAAAATAAGGAAAGACCTCATGCAGAAGTTAATACTTGAACCGAGCCTAGAAGGAAGCTAGGGAACCCAAGAGATGAAGGGAATGCATTGCAGGCATGGAGGACAGTCAGTGCAAGAGCATTGGGTTGGGAGATGGGATGTTGTATGTGAGCAACAGCAAGAAGGCCAGTTTGGTTGGATTACGGTATGTGTGGAGGAGACTAATATGTACTAATTCTGGGAAGGCAAGATGGGCTGGAATGTTTAAATTCCAAACAGAGGAGTTTATATATGATCCTAGAGGTCATAAGGAGCATCTGGAATTTATTGAATGAAAGAAACATACAGTCAGACTTGTGTTTTAGGAAAATCACTTCAGCAGCTATGTGGTAGATGGCTTGGAGCGGGAAGGGAAAAGGCAGTGAGACCAATTAGAAGGACATTGCAATAATCCAGGCAAGAGGGGCTGAGAGCCTGAACTAGGGTGGTCACTGCATGAGTAGAAACATAGAAATGTATGTAAGATGTGTTGCAGGGTTAGGAAGCACAAGATTTGGGAACTTAATGGATGTGTGGAGTGAGAAGGCATGAAGAGGCAAGGATGACTCTTAGTTTGTATATCTGGGTAATTGGAAGGATGATGGTGCCTTCAGACAGAAAGAGGGAAGTTCAGAAGAGGAGTGGGTTTGAGGGGAAAGATGGTGAGTTTTGTTCTGGACTTCCTGAGTTTGAGATGCTATAAAGCATCCAATTTGAAATGTCCAATAGGAAGTTATAGATGTGACATTGGAGCTTAGGAGAGAGGCTAGGGCTGGTTATATCTGGGAGTCATCTATGTAGAAAACCTGCAGAAGCTGATAGAGTCACCAAGTGAGACAGTGTAGAGAGAGAGAGAAGAGGGCTCAAGACAGAGCCTCAAGGATCCCCAGGCAGGTGGCCTGCCATGGATGATGATCAAGCAAAAGAGACTGAGAAAAATACAATCAGGAAGCTAGAAGAAAAATCAAGAGATAGCAGTGTCACAAAAACCCAGAGAGGAGAGAGTATCCAGGAAAGGGTACTCAACAGTGGCAAGTGCTGCAGAGAAAACATATTATGAAACCATCAATTTGGGGCAGGAGTTTGTGATCTGTGTTGGTAGAGGAGAGGCTTTTTTGGATTGGAAGAAGCAGATCCTATTCCTGACTATGGAATGTATGTATCATCTTTTATTTGCCCTTCTTACAGCCTCTGGGAAGAAATGAAAAGCATTCTTACCATTGACCCACAAAAGGATATCTTAAGTCTTATCAGAAAATAATGTTTTGAAAATGAACATTTTTCTTTCCTTTTTCTTTTTCTCAGTAGTTACAGAAGAACAATTTGCCTTATTTAAAAACCTGTCAGGTTCAGGAAATGTGCTACAGTCAAATTGGATTGCATAATTTGGATTGTATAATAATATATTATTTGAATTGTATAATAATATATAAATATGGTTGCATGGTTTTTTCTTTTAAAATATTTACATTTTCATATAGGATTTTATCACTGACATTTCCATGCAAGTCATATCTTGGGCTTTATCTTTATTTGGGTTGTGTATGGGGAAACTAAGGAGAAGGAATGGCTTGGGGGGGGTGGGCGTGGAGGGTGGTAAAAGCCCTGTTTGTCAGTGACTTCCAGCTACACAACCAGGACCCCAGCACTCCAGAACATTCTATCATTACTTACTTTGAAGTGGAATTGTACAACCCACCCAGAGTTGTGCTGGCTGGGGTAACTGAAGGGCTTATCCTCCCCTCAGGTAAGATTTAAGGCTACACTTTCAATAACAGACTCTTGGTGATCATCTCATTCTACCTTTTATCTGAAGCAGGAGTACCCTCTAAATCTAAAACATCTGCATCCAAAACAAGAGCATCTTGTTTGATGAGCTGCATAGTTCAGTAGATGGAGAGCTGGACCTAGAGTCAGGGAGACCCGAATTCAAGTCCTGATTCAGACACTTTACTAGCTGTATGACCCAGGACAAACCACTTAACATCTATCTCAGTTTCCTCATCTGAAAATGAGGATAATAATAGTACCTACCTCCCAGGATTGTTGTGATGGCAAAATAATCTATGGTAAAACACAATCTATGATACTATGTTATGCCATGTTTCCAGTGAAGGGAAGTTCATAACCTGGAGGAACAACCCATTCTAGGCAGATGAATACTGAGAGAATTCACACCCTCCTCACTCCCTTCCCCCAGCCTAAAAACTGTGTTGTTCATGGCTCTTGGATCTAAGGGAGGAAATGAGCTCAACAATGTTGTGAATGTATAAGGACCTTAAACCTCATTGTCTTGGTACTCTTCTCACCCTCACAAGGTTAAACTTACTTGTTCTCATTTTAAAAAGGAAGAAAATTAAAAAGTGTTTTTCCTTGGGTCATGTAGCTAATGGTAGGATTAATGAAAGGAAGCCATCTCTCCTAATTTTATTAGATATTATGCTGTCTGGGTCATTTTGTGGCTTTTACAAACTTTGTGGTCTTTATGCAATTTTACTTAAAATATGAGTGTTCCTAAACTTACAAATGAACTGTGTTCTAAAAATTTGTATGTAAATCAGTTGTTTGGAATCCGGAATTAATTCTCCTATAGAAACAATGTCATTCATAGTAGCAATAAAAATGCAATGCAACATAGATAATGTTAGTTTATAGTTTTCCAAGTCAATATTTATCTGGAATGATCTATTTCTATTTACGTTTGACCCACTGGTCAAATGCCTCCTTTTGAATGATGAAATTGAGACATACATTCAATGATTTACCCAAGGTCATATAGTTTGTAAATAGTAGTTATGATTTGGTCACAGCCCAATACAATGTTTTATGCACTGCAACATATGGCTGTCCCAGTCCAGACCTCTAAAACCCATCTAACCCATATTGTATTTTACCAGTAGCACCACAGAAACTTACCCCATTCAATTTAGAACTGTGGTTGGTTTTCTCTATACTGGGGATACATCTTCTCTTTCCCCTTCTCCTTATCGTGATCTGTCCCAAAGAGTATAACAGCAGACATTTATGTATCACTCTTAGGTTTGCAAGGTGTTTATAGGTAGTCATTCAATAAACATCAATTAAGCACCTTTTATATACCAGGTACTATATATGTGCTGGGGACATGAAGAAAGGTAAATGATAGTCCCTGCTCTCAAGGAATTCATATTCTAATGGGGGATCATCTCATTTGATCCTCACAATGATCCTGAGAAGTATTACTTGTATTATTATGTCCATTTTATAGATGAGGAAACTGAGGCTCAGGTTGAGCCATTTGCCCAGAATCATGTAGCTAGTAAGTGTGAGAGGTGAAATTCAAGCCCGGATTTCTTCCAACTCCAAGTCCAATGCTCTCTCCACTCTCCCAGTCTATTTGGCAGTAGAGAATTGAGCTTACACAGGACCAGCTAAATAAATACATCTGAAATGAAATCAACAGGACATATCCTCTTCTCCCATTCTAGACATCCTCTGTATCCTAGCTCCTAAGCAGTACGGTTCTCTGGACCACACAAGGCCCTTAGGGAAACAGAGATAAAGCACATGACCTCCTAACTAGCTGCCTTCCCAGAGATATGGCAGCCAAGGTCGCATACATTAGTACACACAAAAAGAAAAAAAAATCCATGAAGCCAGTTATGACACTGTAGGCCTCTTGGACCCTTGCCTGCTATCCAATGTACAAGAGCACAAGAATTCTCACAAGAGTTGGGTCAACCTGAGTCATAGCACATCAAGACTGCAGTGCGTTACTATGGAAGTTACTATGTTACTACTATGGCTCTGTAGTGCAAGGGCCTGGGTTCAAGTCCACCTCTGACTTTTACTACCTATGTGACCTCAGGCAAGTCAGTCTCCCTAGCTCTCAGTTTCCTCATCTGTAAAATCAGGGCTTCTAAGGTTGCTTTCAGCTCTAAGTGTATAATCTTATGAAGACAGAAAGCTAACTTAAATACCTTCTAGGTCTTGGTAGAGGCCCTGTCTCCAATGCATAGCCCTAGCTGACTTCCTCTGACTTTTTGCTAATACTCCTCTCTCATAGTGCCAGGGTGTAGCTGGTCTGACTACAAGACCTCTCTAGAATGAGAGTCAGGGCTAAGAGCCTGAGGGGTTGGTGGAGCAATACAGACCTAGAGAGTCAGGCTGGGGGGCTAGGGTTGGGTGTCTTGTTCTTGTAACTCCTTGGGAACCATTTCTTGTCTGGCTAATTCCTTGGTCACCTCCTTTCCTTTCTTTCTCAAGCCTCCAGAAGGATTGGCCAGCTTGCTTCCATTACTACTGCCATCAGCTACTGTTTCTGACCAGGCCTTACCTTCTTCCTGGTCTACTGAAGAACACCACACAAGTCTCAAAGCTTTTTCCTTATACTGTTATCCCTGAGGAAGAATATGAAAGTCAATGTGGTAACAGGACACCTGGGGTTTAGTTCTGTGTCTTCCACTTACTAGGACAGCTAGGTGGCAGCGTAGATAGAGTACTGGGCCTGGAGTCAGGAAGACCCGAGTTCAAATCTGGCCTCAGACATTTACTAGCTGTTTTACCCTGGGCAAATCACTGAACCCTATTTGCTTCAGTTTCTTCATCTGTAAAACGAGCTATAGAAGGAAATGGCAAACCACTCCAGTATCTTTGCTAAGAAAACCCCGAAAGGGATCACAAAGAGTTGGACACAACTGAAAAAACGACTCAACAACAACCTCTACATACCAGCTGTGTGATATGAGTACAGGCAAAAGTTCTAGTTTAAAGCCTTAGTCTTTTTTTTTTTAAAGTTTTCTTAAAACATTTAATATTGAATCAATGCAACCAGCTAAACTTGATTAGAAACTACCCATCTTACTTATTTCATGCTTTTTTTTCTTTTTTCTTTTTCTTTTTTTTTTTGTGAGACAATTGGGGTTAAGTGACTTGCCCAGGGTTACACAGCTAGTAAATGTCAAGTGTCTGAGGCTGGATTTGAACTCAGGTCCTCTTGACTCTAAGGCTGGAACTCTATGCACTGCACCACCTAGCTGCTCCATCATCTTACTTATTTCAATGCTAAAATAATCTAACAACTTTTCAGTTACTCTAAGATCCTCTTAATGTCCCGTTTGTCTATTCTTTCTCATTCATTTGGTCTCTTATGGGGTCCTAGTATGTATTATGTTCTTCTGACTCTACTTTTTTTCACTTGACATCATTTCATCAATATTTTGAATAATGCAGAAATTTGTAGATTTCTTTGTATTTCTTATATTTGTTACAGGCAGTTACCAGGTGGCCACCAGGTGGAGTCAAGAAGACCTGAGCTCAAATCCAGCCTCAGACATTTATTAGCTTTGTGATCTTGAGGAAGTCACTTAACCTCTGCTTGCCTCAGTTTCTTTATCTGTAAATCATAATAGCACATACCTCTAACGTTGTTTTGAGGATCAAATGAGATAATATATGTAAATCACTTAGCACAGTGCCTGGCATATAGTAGGTACTATGTAAATGTTAGCTATTATTATCATTAATTAAGTAATATTATTGGTCTTGCTGGCATTATTGAACCTCAGTTTCTTCAGCAGTAAAATATGAATGTTAGTACATTGTTTATTTTATAAAGTTGTAAGGAAAATGCTTTAAACACTGTAATTAATTTTCCAGCATATGGCATTTGATATTTTCTAAGGATTTTTACTGATGGTAACAATGGAGAAACAGACATGAAACTGATCTATTCCAGTTGTGGATCTCAAGGGATAGAAACATAGCCATATCTACATAGCCTAACCTAACTAGAGGGTTTACAAATAACATACTGACCACCTGTAGACCATGCTCATACAAAAGAACAGAGAGATCTCTGCTTGTGTCTCATCAAAGAATCTTGGGTTCCAAAGCCTTCCTTTGGTTTTGGAAGATGAAGCTATCCACATAACCTTAGTTCAGAAAATCAGGTCTACCCACAATGATGGCTCACTATGGGTGGGGTTCCTAAAGTTTTATACTGCTTATGACAAAGGTAGACTTGCAGCCTTGACAGGTGTATTGATCTAAGGTAAGGTTGCATACAGCAATCATGAATAGGTTGGATTAGGATAAAAGCAAATATTGGTAGAATTCCTTTGATAACATGGCCTCATCAGTCATTCTGGCTGTTTTTATCTATATGTCTCCCCTCTTCTCTCCCAGTCTAACCAGTCTGCAACAGGAGTATAAATCCCTCCTATCCTTGATTCTCTTCTCTGACCCCTCCTCTATTTTTTTTTTTTTTGCTTTTAGACCCTGTAAACAAAGCTTACATATAGGTGCTAATAATGGGGTAGTATATGAAGAGATTCATTGAACTTTAGAGAAAAAAAACATTTTCAGGCTCTCAGCCCTCCTTCCCCCAAATCAAGGAACAAATGTTTCTTTGGAATCATTAATAGATTCTTAGAGTTCAGAGAGATCACAAAAGTCATCTTGTGAACCCCTTGCTTGATGCAGGTATTCCCAGTATTGAATCTTTGACCAGTGATTAGCATGTTTCTACTTCAACTGCTCTAGTAAGAGAGATACACTCCCTCAGGAGCCAGGCCATTGGACAAATCTAATTTTTAGATATTTTTTTACACTAGAGCACAACTTCTACCCATGATTCTTAGTTCTGCCCTCTGGGACCAAGCAGAATAAATCTAATCTCTCTGCCATGTAACAGCCCTTCAAATGCTTGAGGACTGCTATCATGGTCTGAGTCTTCTCTAGACTAAACACCCCCAGATACTGTATGCTAGAAGTAATAATTCACATTTCTCCACCACTTTAAGTTTTAGAAAGTCCTTTTCTCTTAATAACTCTATGATTTAAAAGGCACAAGTATCATTAACCCATTTTAAAGAGGAGGAAACTAAGACTGAGAAGCAACTTAACCAGGGTCACCCAAATTGACTTCTAATCCCAGGTTATCCTGATTCTAAGTCCAGCATCTTTCCACTATGCCATCCAGGTATATCTTAGGCATTAAAAAAATGGGTGGGTTTTGGGTAGGAAGAGAGGGAGACTATGCATAAAACTGGAGGAATAGTCCACCAAAATTTTCTAAGCAAGAGGATATAAGCAGCCTTTATATAGGGGGGAAAAACAACAACAACCAAATCCTAGATTCAGGTAACATTTATTTCCATTTGCTAGTCAATTACCAGCTGTCAGATCATGTTAAGTATATTGTCAGTCTGAGTCAAAAGCTATTACTCCCATGCCAATATTAGCACTCCCTGATCATGGGTAGTGATTTGTTCTAATGAAAGGATATTGTTAATCATACTTGCATCTGTCCTTACCATGGCAAAATATTGCTGCTAGGCTTCATTGTTCTGATGAAGTCAATCAAAGTATAAACCATTTTACTTTTTACATTTTACATTTTCAGAAGTGATGAGCTTCTCCCCCCCAATCATTATGAATGTTTCCTACTCTTTTCTTACATAAAAATCAGTATTTCAACTTCTATAGCATATTAGTTGTGAAAATATCATATTTGTTTACAGACAGATGGTTTTTAAAATTTACTCAGGAAAAAAAATTATAAAAAACTATAACCTCAGTAGAAATGTCTTAATTTTCCTCCCTTGTTTTTTTTAAACCTCTTTTTTCATAGTTAATTAGCTTGATAAATCCAAGAACATAAGTTACTGAGAGAATGACTCCTTACATGGCAAGAACTACTAGAAAACTGGAAAGCAGATTGTAAAAAATTGTAGAAGATCATTATTTAACATCATATACCACAGTAAGCTCCAGATGGCTATGCGACCTGACTATGAAAGGTCACATCACTAAAAAAAAATTAGGCAAAGGAAGAAAATACCTTTTATAAATATGAATTATTACATAAATTATGTATTACTCTATTGTAGTGTAATAAGGTGAACATAAAAGACTAAATAATTCAATTACATAATTTTTTTTAAAAAACTGCATGAATGAATAATGCAGATAGACTAAGAAGATCAATTATCAAGGTGGGAAAATTTGGGTAGGGGGGTCATTGTTAATGAGTTTGATCTTTCCCACAGCCACTTCTTGATTACCTGCTTTTGATCTTATCCTGGCACCAAGAGTAATCCATTGTTCCATTCCTATGGCCAAGGTTCCCTTCAATTCACTTGTCCAGATTACCTATAGATTTTCTTATATTCGTGCCCACATTGGACCCAGAGATTTGAAAGTTAATTGTATTTTGAGGGCCATATAAATTCAGCTCTGTAAATATTACATGCGGTAAAGCTGTTGGAAACACTTTTTTTTTTGGCTAGGCAATGGGGTTAAGTGACTTGCCCAGGGTCACACAGCTATAAGTGTTTTGTGTCTGAGGTCAGATTTGAACTCAGGTCCTCCTGAATCCAGGGCCAGTGCTCTATCCACTGCACCACCTAGCTGCCCCACTGGAAACACTTACATGTGATCATTCAATCCTAATTTAATATGTTCTAATTTCTTTTACCCAACCCTCATGTTCCCAGCCATCAACTCCCAGGGATTCAGAGAATTTGGGGTCAGGGAGCAATAGATTAGTTACTTTTTATTTTGAATCAGGCTGTCAGAAACCACTAACACAACTAGTCAATTTGGTACCAAAGTGCACATTGCAAGGTATGTTGGGACACTTTTATGACCCTGTTAAACCTTAATCCATTGAGTCATAACTGTTAGTGATTTTTATATCTTCTTCATTTTAAAGCTTTGCTGTTCTTTTTCTTTGGGGAAATAAACTGGTGGCTGATGTGATTAATTTGTCCTCCTGTAGGATGAGGACCCTTCTTCTCAAGGAAGTGGGTGGACAGGATGGGGATCCTGGGGAAAATCCCTTTTGTCATCTGCATCTGCTACAGTTGGTAAGTATTGTAAGATACACAGGATTCACAGAGATTGAAATTCTTTTGAAAAAGGACTGGATAAGTTGATTGGTAGAGTTAAGCATCAGTTCCATCAACTCTTACCTCTTGTAATAGACTCTTAAAGCTTAAGTATTTATTTAAGTTGTGACCCTACTGTATGTAAATAGAAATTACTGGGCAGGAGAAGGGGAGGTATTCCAATTAGGGAGATTAAACTGATGGGGACACAAAGGTGCTCACCTGCATGGGAAAGGGGTGAGCCTTTCATTTTCTCTTAGAGCACAGGACAAAGACAACTTCATAATGCATAAAGATGACTCATTCTTCTTCTTTTCCCCTCTAACATTCTCCTGCCACACCCCTCCAGGTGGGGAGGGTGCTCCCCGAAAAGGAACAGACACATCAGGAGGTGGTTGGTTGACTTGTGATATAGCAGGTACAGCCCGTATGGTGTTACCTGGGGGAATGTGCCTGCACCTCTGTCTTTGTGCTTGCCTCTGTATACTTATGGTCCAGAGATAATGGGAACAGATATTGGCTTTCTTAGGTTAGTAGGAGCTGCCATTAAAGACCTAGCTAGTCACCAACCTTTTCAACCTAGAAAGTACAATAAAAGCTGATAATCCTATAGTATTTGAAGGTTATACACCTCCTGTATTATCCTCACAACAACCCTGTGAGGGAAATGCTGTAGGTATTATCCCCACTTTATAGATGAAGAAACTGAGGTCCAGTGATGTTGTGACTTGCCTATCCATGACCACATGGCTAGTATGTGTCAAAGACAGAATTTAAACCCAGGTCTCTCCAGACTACAGCCAGTATTCTTTTCACTACCCCATGTTGTTGTGGTTTGTTATTCAGTCATTTGATCACGTCTGACTCTTCATGACCCCATGGCCCATAGCATTCGAGGACTTTCTGTCCTCCACGATTTCCCAAATTCTATCCAAGCTGAGGTTCATTGCTTCCAGGATACTAGCTATCTATCTCATCCTCTGCCATCTCCTTCTTTTGCCTTCAATCTTTCCCAATAGTGGCATCTTTTTAATGAGTCCTCTCTTATCATTATGTGGCCAAAGTATTTAAGTTTCAGCTTTAGTGTTTGACCTTCCAATGACTCATCTGAATTAATTTCTTTAAACATTGACTGTTTTGATCCCTTTGCTATCCAAAGGACTCTCAGAAGTCTTCTCCAGCACCACAGTTAGAAAGTGTTGGTCCTGCAGCACTTAGCTTTCCTTATAGTCCAGTTTTCATGGCCATATACTGCTATTGGAAGAACCATACCTTTAACTATACAGACCTTTGTTGTCAAGGTGATGTTTTTTAGTATGCTACCCAGATTTGTCATAGCTTTTTTCCTAAGGACCAAACATCTTTTAATTTCATGACTATACAGTAGTCACTGTCTGAAGTAATCTTTGAGCCCAAGAATATAAAATCTGACACTGCTTTAATTTCTGCTCTCTCTATTTGCAAGGAAGTGATGGAACCAGTTGTCATGATCTTAGCTTTTCTGATGTTAAGCTTCAAACCAGCTTTTACACTTTCCTCTTTCACTCTTATCCAGAGGCTTCTTAATTTTTCTTCACTTTCTTCCATCAGAGTGCTATTGTCCATATATCTAAGACTGTTGATATTTCTCCTGGCAAACTTAATTCTGGCTTTTGATTTGTCCAGCCTGGCATTTTGCATGATGTACTCTGCATATAAGTTAAATAAGTAAGATGACAATATACATTGTTGTACTCCTTTTCCAGTCTTAAATCAATCGGTTGTTCACGTTTGATTCTAACCATTGCTTCTTGACCCACATATGGGTTCTTCAGGAAACAAGTAAGATGATCTGGTGCTTCCAGCTCTTTGAAGAATTACCATATTTTGTTGTGATTCACACAGTCAAAAGCTGCAGTGTAGTCAATGAAGCAGAAATAAGTGTTTTTTTGGAGCTCCCTTGCTTTCTCCATAATCCAGCGAATGTTGGCAATTTGGTCTCTAGCTCCTCTGCCTCTTAAAAAACCAACCTGCTTCTCTGGTAATTCTCAGTTCACATGTTGCTGAAGCCTAGCTTGCAGAATCTTAAGCACAGCCTTGCCGGTGTCTGAAATGAGCATAATTGCTCAGTAATTTGAACATACTTTGGCATTGCCTTTCTTTAGGATTGGGATGTAAACTGGCATATTGAAGACAGCAATTTAATAGCATCATCTTTTAGGACTGTAAGTACCTCAGCTGGAATTCTGTTACCTCTATTGTCGTTATTGTTAGCACTGCTTTCTAAAGCCCACTTAACTTCATTCTCCAGAATGTCTGGCTCCAGATCAGTAACCACACCATCATGGTTATTGGTAATATTAAGATCTTTCTTGTATAGTTCTTCTCTATATTCTTGCTACCTCTTCTTAATCTCTTCTATTTCTGTTATGTCACTACCATTTTTATCTTTTATCATTCCCATTTTTACATGAAACATTCCTTTGATATCTCTAATTTTCTTGAAGTGACCTCTTGCCTTTTCCATTCTATTGTTTTCTTCTATTTCTTTGGATTGCTTATTTATGAAAATCTTCTTATCTCTCCTTGTTATTCTCTGGAATTCTGCATTCAGTTGAGTATATCTTTCCCTTTCCTTCTTTCCTAAGCTATTTGTAAAGCCTCATCAGACAGCCAGTTTGCTTTCTTGCTTTGGGATGTTTTTTTGCCGCTGTCTCCTGTACAATATTGTGAACCTCTGTCCATAGTTCTTTAGGTTTTCTATCTACCATATCTAATCTCTTAAATCTATTCTTCACTTTTACTTCATATTCATAAGGGATGATATTTAGGTCATGCCTATACAGTCTGATGGTTTTCCCTACTTTCTTCAATTTAAATCTGAATTTGGGGTCATTCATTAGAGATGAATGCTGACAGTTCCCTCTATACTTTGTTGAGAGAAGAGCAAGTATTTAGGCTAAAGTCGCATTTCAGTTAGCACTAATGAACAAAGAGCCAACTGACCAATCTCTGATGATATTTCCTCTGGAGGGGTTTTGGTTACACTGCTATTGTGCTCTAAGTTTATTCTAGGTGGCTTTAATTAGTGCCCTGCAGAAGAAGTAGCCAAGAGTGCTTGTGACTCTTCTAGACTCCCTTTGGTGTCTGCTTACATTCCAGGAGCCATCTTGTTACTCTATATTCAAAGTATATCCAAGTTCAGACATCTCACAAATGTAACTTAGTCAAAAGTTATCTAAGCATCAGTAGCCAAGTGAAATCACCTGTCTCTGGAAAAGATCCATTTTTCAGAGGGCATGGGAATTTAACAGGGAGCGAGAGGAGTCAGGTAGGGATTTGTTTCAGGAAAACAGTGGGATTGCACAGTTCTGGTGCCTGGCATATGCTATCTCCTGTCTCTCTCTCAGGATATCTTGTTGCTTCAGCAAGGCTAGTTTGCCAGTATGGTGTGTGGCAGTTAGTTGGCAGTTGCTGTGAAGGGCTGGTCCCTTCTCCATAAAAATTGCTTCCCTGGGTGATGGCTGTGAGGGCTGGGCTGGAAGCAGGAAGGGTGGTTTGAGGATGCTGCCACTCCCAGGGCTCCTGTACTTGTTCACCCATTGGTGGCAGTTGGTTAGCAGTTGTTCTGGTGGTGATGAGGAAGGTAGGCCCCCTCCCCACATTGATATCTTCCCTCCGTGGGGGCTAGGCTAGAAGCAGGTCTGAAGGTTTGGGAAGCATTGCTTTTCCCAGTGCTCTTAGGTTCAAGGTCCTGGGCAGTCCCTATCTGAATCTTAGGGGAAATGGTAGTTAAGGTCAAGGTGGTAGTAGCAGTAGTTTGACTTGCGTGGCATACTCTGCCTCCTGTACCTCCTTCAGGGATGCTTTACTGCTTCAAGGGGAAGAAGAAACCACTGAGTATGTGCTTGTTTTATTCTACCCTCTCCAGGGGCATTCTCTAAACTTTCCAGAGGTTGGTGATATCTAACTGGTACTTTCCTCTGTTGGATTTACTATTCAGTCCCTTCTTAGATATCCTGTTGTCATCTAAACTTGGCCTGGTGCACCTTTCTACCAGGAGACTGGCCTTACTCCAGGGTCTCAGTGTTTTGCTAACTGATATGAAGCATGAAAGGGGGAGGATACTTGCTTCCCTACTCAAGGACCTGGATAGGATTTCTGTTGTATCTTCTCCATTGATCTCTTAGGTCTGAAAGACATTTACCTTGACCTGGAGTTTGATGTCATACTCTGTTGAGTATAATCACTTTTCATGTTAATATTGAACTTCTTCTGTCTCTGATACACCACAAAGATCACGTTCAGCATATCGTGTTACAGCTCATACACTCTGCAAATTCCAGAGGCTCCCGGTGGACAAGGCTGTGTGTGTGGATGTGTGTGGGTGTGTGTATTTGTATATGTATGTGTGTGTCTGTGTGTGTGTGCAGTAGTTAATCCAGAAGAACTCTGGCTAGGATCTTGCCCTTGAGACCATGTGGTAGTTGCTACTGTCCGCTTTACCATATCCCTTTGATTATGAAAATGATAATGAGTTTTAAAAGGTAGTGAGGTTTTTCTTCTCATTACTCCAGAAATTGAAATGCAAGTCTGATGTGCATAACCTTATCCTCACCCTTTTCTATTTATAATTCTCCTTCCACGGGTCATTAGGTCTAAGGACTTCATATTTCTTCTCTTCTTCCCTTCCCTCCCTCCCTTCCTTACCCCATTTCTTTGTTCCTTCCTTCTTTTTTCTCTTCCTCCCTTGCTTTCTCTCTCTCTTCCTCTCTCCTTTTCTCCTTCCCTTCTTCCTTTCCTTCCTTTGCTTCTTTCTTTCTTTCCTCCCTTCCTTTCCTCATTTTCCCTCCATCTCTTCTTTCTTTCCCTTCCTCCCTCCCTTCTTTCCTCCCTTCTTTTCTCTTTACTCCCTTTCTTCATCCTTCCCTTCCCTTCTTCCCTCCCTCCCTTCTTTCCTTCCTTCCTTTCTCCCTTCCTCCCAATCCCTCTTCTCTTTT